GTCCACGTGGGCGGTCCATCAGGCCCAATGTCTGTACTCACTCTATGGCCACTCGCAGCAACGCAGATGCTCCTCTTTTTGCTCTAGCAGCTCAAGTGCATCTCACGGAACCCACATGTTACTCTCAAGCTGTCAAATATCCTGAGTGGCGTGAAGCCATGGACCAAGAATTCAATGCTCTCCTGCATAACCACACATGGTCTCTAGTTCCACCCACTGCAGGTATGAATATTATTGGCTGTAAATGGGTGTTTCGTACGAAGAGAAAGGCTGATGGTGCTATTGAAAGGCATAAAGCCAGGCTGGTTGCGAAAGGTTTTAATCAGGTTCCAGGTCAGGACTTCTTCGACACTTTTAGTCCAGTGGTAAAGCCTACGACTGTAAGACTCCTTCTATCTCTAGCTTTATCATCTGGGTGGTCTATCAAACAGCTAGATGTTCATAATGCTTTTCTGAATGGTAATCTGGCTGAAACAGTTTATATGAAGCAACCCCCTGGTTATATTGATGCTAACTTCCCGAATCATGTTTGTTTGTTAAAAAGATCTCTGTATGGGTTAAAACAAGCTCCCAGAGCTTGGTTTAATCGACTACATACGTTCTTACTATCGGTTGGCTTTCAAGCATCCAAGACAGATGTCTCTCTGTTCTATTACTCTAAAGACTCTGCTTTGGTTTATCTATTGGTGTACGTGGATGACATTCTTGTAATGGGAAGTGATCAAGGTATTATGTCTCAGCTCTTGTCCAAACTGTCTGCTACATTCAAAATCAGAGATCTTGGTGAACCAAATTTGTTTCTGGGTATTGAAACAGTTAAGAGTGACAATGGGATTATTTTATCTCAACAACGGTATATGAATGATATTTTAAAACGGGCTGGAATGTCTGAATGCAAACCCCTTTCTACACCTATCTCTGTCTCGAAAACTGTCCATTTCAATTCAGATCTATATGATGATCCCACACAGTACAGGAGTCTAGCTGGAGCACTGCAATATCTCACTGTCACACGACCTGACCTATCCTTTGCAGTTAATCAGTTATGCCAGCATATGCATGCCCCCACCATATCACACTGGGAGCAGCTCAAACGGGTACTCAGGTATGTTAAGGGAACAGTTGATCATGGTTTACGCATACGACGGTGCTCATCTAGAGACATTCATGCTTTCTCTGATTCTGATTGGGCTGGTTGTCCTGACGATCGAAAATCCACGAGTGGTTTTGCTGTTTTCTTGGGGAGTAATCTTATATCATGGGTTTGCAAGAAACAGAGAACTGTTGCCAGGTCATCCACTGAGGCTGAATACAAAGCTCTTGCAGATGTTTGTGCTGAGGTTCTATGGATTATGTCATTATTGCGTGAGATACAGATTCCGGGTATTTCCATTCCAAAATTATGGTGTGATAATCTAGGAGCTACATATATGAGTGCCAATCCAATCTTTCATGCGCGCACCAAGCATGTGGAGATTGATTATCATTTTGTTCGTGATATCGAGTAGCTTCGGGCGATATCCAAGTCAACTTCATCTCCACAAAGGATCAACTTGCTGATATCTTTACCAAAGCTCTGCCTAGACCTAGATTTTCTTCCTTAAGGGACAAGCTACAGGTTACTAGTATACATTGTGCTTGAGGGGGAGTATTAGGACTCTATGTATATGAGTCTGTTTAGAACTTCTTATCCTTGTCACACTGTGACTCTCTACTTCTTATCATTGTCACACTGTGACTCTCTATTCTATATATTCACATCATCTGATCTCATTGTAATTAAGTTCAGAAAATATAATACAATCAGTTCTCATCATTTGGTTGAAGTTCCTTTTGTTGAATTGCAATTCATGGGTACCCCATGAATTGCAATTCAATGCTTTTGGGAACGGAAAAAAATGAATGAAATGGCAAAAATACCCTTGATAATTGTTATTCTTTTTATTACACAATGACATTTTAGTCTTTATACCACTTTTTCCCTTCTCATTCCTAATAATTCTATTTCTCCTACCAAACAATGTAATTTGAATTCCTACATCATTCTTACCTTATTTTTTTCCCACCGAATTGCAATTCATTTCCGTCATAATTCCTTCCTCCCAACCAAACACCTCGTTAGTTTTTTAATACAAGTAAACTTTTAAAGACGGGTTAAAAGTCTAAAATTGAATACCATCAGCCTTTTAAAGACTCTTTTAAAATTGAGATAAAATATCACTAGACTTTTAAACTCTTTAAAAGTTTTTACAAATTTATAAAAATCTCGAGTAAATATACCACATTAGTATCTGAGTTATATGCGTGACAATCTTAATTTAACCCAAAAATTATGCGCAGAATGACAATTTTAGTCTTTTAGAAATTACTTTTGTCACCAATATGTTACTTAATAAAGTTGTTGATTTTGTTTTTTAATTAGGGACTAACATTATCACTTTGCGCATAACTTAAAAATTAAAGATTATTACATATATAATTCAGGATCAAATCTATACACGAGTATAACTGAATGATAAAAAAAAAATGCAACTTTCTCTATTTCATGTCTGCGAGTATATATTAAGGAATGATTTTAATAAGAAAAATATAACATATTTAATGGAATTTTGAAAATCCATAGCTCCAATTTTTATATAGCTAGAGTTCTAGAGTATTAGTAACACCGAGTCACCACAAAAATGGCCTCAGATATATTTCTATAATTGGAAAGTGGAAAAGGTAAAGCAACACCTTATCATCTTGGAAGAATGTTAGAGAATTGTTCGAAAGACAAAATGCGTGCAGAAGGAGAATTCTAACAAGGCACTGCATTATACGCCCATACCGGTGTACTTATTTAAATGTATTTTTTAAAAAATAAATATATAAATTTTAAAAAATATATCCAATAATAATGAATTATACTCAAATATTTATTTGTTATTTTTACAAAAAATAAAAATGGATAGGGGCGCACTAGTTACCCATTTCTGAAATGTTCCCACTTGCGACAAGTTAATTGAAAAGGAAAAATGATTTTTTTCCTCAAATGATAGACTCCACCACTAATTAAAAAAAAAAAAATTTAATTATCAATTAGATAATAACACTTCATGAGGAAAAATTCGTAAGAAAAATATATGAAGAGTATGTAGCATTGCTCATTGAAAAATTATATTAAATTATACCAAATTACCAATATCTTAAGATACTTGGTAAGGGTAATAGTGCCCTGTGTTCGGATCGAATTCGAATTAGTTTAACGGTGATGAGAATATCAAATATTAAAAAAAAAAAAGGTATCATCATAGAATAAAAAATGAAATTAATTATTATTTTAATAGTTTATAATAAAACACAACTAAAGAAATGCATACATTAGTTGAAATGATTATACATTTGGAGTAAAATGATAAATTGTATTAAATTTGGATCATGTTCCTAACTTCCTATTGCTCTCTTGGGAGAATGTTTAAATTTTTTGTAGTACTCTAATCATGTCATGGGCTGGCCTCCTCTGTACTAAGGATTTAAATTTATGAGCAAAATGGGTCATTGGGATACTTTTTAATGTCTGATCATCTTCTCCTGTTTTTTGCAGCTAGGCACATGAATTGTTCAAGCAAAGGAAGAAGGCTGTAAAATCTATACTTACGTACGATACTAACTCAGTAAAAAAAAAAAAAGAAAGAAGAAACAAATCAAATTATGTAAATATTATTATATTTTAATTCTTGCCACAAAGGAGAAAAGAGTTGCAAAAAAATTAACAATAAATTTAAAAATTAAAAAGTCATGAGTTCTTTTTGTGTACACAAATTTTAGTGTTATAAAACAACAACAATAACAAAATTGTCATTATTATTATTATTATTATTATTATTATTATTATTATTATTATTATTAAAAGGTTAAAAATATATTATAATAAATCTAGTTAAGAATAATAAACAAAGAAATATTTTGTTATTAAAGTAAAAAAATTTCAAAAGAAAGAAGATAAATTTAAAAATAATATCTTATCATTATATAAGGAAAATATCACATTTTATAAGCTACTAGTAGATAAAATTAACATTTTTATTTATAAACTAACCTTTCTAAACTTTGATAATTCATACTAGTTTTTAATTTGTAATTTTAAATATTAAATAATAATAATAATAATAATAATAATAATAATAATAATAATAATAATAATAATAATAATAATAATAATAATAATAATAATAATAATAATAACAACTCCAAAGAGGATAGACAAAATAATTTTGAGGGCCCCCTTTTTGTTAATCATTAACAGGGAAGTTTTTGCATCATGAAGCGCTAAAAGAAGTTAAAGAGATCGATCATTGTCTGGACACCATTTATCTATTTTTGTGTTTTACAAAAAGTTCTTTTTTCTGTAATTTCAATTGTTTCTAATTTCACCAATTTTATTTTCTGATTTTCTCCAACTATATATTATCATGCTCTGTTCATATGAGGTTTACAAAATTATTGCACCGCTAAAAATAAGCAGTATATTGTGTCATACTTCGATGTGACACGTAAAAATCGTCTATATCATTTACGTGCCAATATATAATTATTATAAGTAATAAAATTCATTTAAAAATAAAGAAATTTGATAAATTAAAAAAGATTTTGACTGTGGCGTATATCTCTTAAAATTTTGGTGGGACCCATTGGCAAAGCCGAAATGAAAGAAATTGATTTGCGTGTATGCCCATATCCATATGTAATGGGTGAAGGGTGGGTTTTAATGTGTGTAGGTGGGCCACATGGAAAGAAAGGCGGGCACAATAGATCGCCACGTCGGCAAATCAGAATCTTCTACGCGAGCCGTGTATCCGCCACGTCATGGGGTGAAACTGGAAAATATCCGACGGGAGGCGGGGCGCGAGTCAGAGGAAACAGCCCCTCCCAAGACAGTGAAGCCACAAGGCCAAGGGTTTTGTGCTCCCTCAGATTCCGACACCTGGCACTTCCTCTTACCATTCAACCGCACCTTCTCTCTCTCTCTCTCTCACTCTTCACTCTTCCCTACGCCTCCTGCCTGCTATTACATTTTATTTCCAGTTTTATACAGATGCCCCCACATCCACAGTCCCAAACCTAATCCACACATAATAATTTTCGTTTTTTGTGGGTGATTTCTATATCTGGCTTCAATTTGATTTTTTCCTTCTCTCTCTTGATCTCTCTCTCTCTGTGTTTTCCTTTTTCTGATTTTCTCTCACTAGGGACTTGGGAGTTGGGAGTAGTTGCAGAAGCAGGGAGGTAGTTTAATTTTGGTTTTCTTTCTGGAGAAGATGAAGATTTGTGAGCTGTGTAAAGGTGTGGCCAGAATGTATTGCGAGTCGGACCAAGCGAATCTGTGTTGGAGCTGCGATTCCAAGGTACACTCCGCTAACTTCCTGGTCGAGCGGCACTCCCGCCGTCTGCTCTGCCACGTGTGCCAGTCGCCGACGGCGTGGTCGGCTTCCGGCTCCAGGCTAGGATCTATGGTTTCCACCTGTGAGAGATGCTTTGAAAGTGGTGCGAGGAGCGGACCTGAGGCAGAGGTCAGCCGTGAAGAGAATGAGTTCGAGGATGAGGATGAGGATGACGATGAGGTGGAGGAAGAGGATGACGATGATGAGATAGATTCAGAGGATATTCAGGTGGTTCCGTGGTCATCTACGCCGCCGCCGCCCGCAGCTTCGTCGAGCAGCGATGATTCGTTACTCACGGAGAGAGAAGTTTCTGGTAAACAATTGCGTGAAAATGACACAGATCTCCAATATGAGGTAACAATTTTCTCTTATTTACTTATTTCTTCAATTTTTACAGACGGTTCCTCATTTTTTTTCCACAAAAAATAGATACACATTGTGCAAGCCACAATTGATATTGTTGTGATTATAAATTTTCTGTCCGCTGATTTTTTACTTTTTTTCATTTCCGGACATTTAATAGGACAATCGCCGCAATTTATCGTCCCAGCTCCGCCTCTGCACGCCGTCAGAGTCGTCGGCGGATTTCAGAGGCTTACATGTTCTGAACGACGAGACTTCTATGCTTGACAGTGGAAGGCCGGCGAAGCTCAGAAGAACAGACCCTATCGGAATGGGTCGGTTGAAAGATCCGAATCGAGATCCTCGTTAATCGTTGACGCAAAAGGGCGATATCATCGGGAGGACTGAAGAGTGCAGTCAAGTCGAGATCTCGCCGAGTTTTGTCGACTCAGCGACGACCCTACCGCCGTAGATCTCGACTGCTCTGAAACTTCGTAGCCACGGGATAGGATTATTATTTTCGATATTAACCAGCGCGTCATCATTATATTTTATCGGATAAGAGTTAGAATTATTATTAATTTTTTTTTTTTTAATTTCCAATTCCTAATTGTGATAGATATTTTAGCATGATGTTAACCTTACAGGCCTACAACCCTATCTTCAAAATTCTCGCTGGTTTGTTCATATGGCATAATTTGATTTCGCTATTCCGTACGAGGTAATTGTTTGGAAGCAAATATCTTACTTATGTTGAGTCGTTTTCTATGCTAGGAATTTATTATGGGCCAGTGGTTTGAAATGAAAAATTCTTGTGGACGAAATTGAGTGGTATAAATTTCATTTGATCTGGGAAACTTCAAAAATGTGATAGATGGATCACAAGTAATGCATGCCATGTCTGAATTAGTTTTGTTTATGTCGGGTGCACCATGTTCGTGAACGACCAGCCACGCAAATAACAATTTCAACACGTCATAAAAAAGTGCCTATTCAGAAGGACAGTTGCAAGAGTTGTAAATGTGTGGTTGTCGATGTCTTAAGTTATTCTTTATTTACAGATATTATGTTATGGTCTGTGATTAAAGTTTGTGTTGTTATGATGATGGCGGTCCGATGTTATAACACGTGGAATAATGCCAGTTGCGTCTCCATTTCGTTGTGTTGGTGTTACTGAATGCTACACTGCTCCCATGCCACTTGGAACCAAGGCATTGTTTCTTAGTACTCACATACAAATCTGAAATTATTATTTTGAATGTGTATTTTTGTCTTGATTTTACTCGGTTATATTACAAGTTAGTAGGAAAAAGTATGAGAGAAAATTGACTGCATAATTGCAAGAGAACTGGAATTTAGAACTCGTTTTAATGTGCTCCAATAGGGTATTTATACTAGATCTATGAAAGCTTTCAAACCGCCATGCTTCTGTCCTAATACTGAAAAGGAAATTCCGCGTAAAATCTGGAGAAAATTTTCTTCAATCGTCTCTGAGTGCAGCACCCGGTCGGGTGTTCCCGCTAACTGCCTTTACAGGACGACCAACCGGGTCATACACTCATACGTCCCTGCATGGGGTCAGGCTACTGAATTCCTCTCATCTTGTGGTAGCGTAGTCAAACTGTGAGTCCAAATTGTCAAAGTATGCTACTGACTGGATACCCTACTCGAGATATCCATAACAACTGTTTACATAAAATAACATGATATACTTATGTGTTTCCAAAAAAATGATATGTGAATCAGTAAATGAAGTCATGGCATACTGGCATACAAGCGTTAGAAAGAATGATCACAAATTTCTGCAATAAGAAATTGTGAGTGGTTCAAATTCAACCTAGATGAATGGCTAAACTTGCACAACAATTTTTATTCTATTCTTGTTTGCGTCCGCCTGCACCATTATTTAGACTTACACTATATTGATATTTAAATACTATTTTTTCTTGATATGGGTGAACCTATTTCGTTCCTTCAAATGTTGGTAAGTATCAATTTAATATTTTTTTTATTTGACGAATGCATTGATGAGATATTTCTAATATATTTTATTGTTGTTGTCTGCAAGTATCTCAACACTTGTACGGGATCATATTATACTATTATCTTCCTATCATCTATCAACTTTTTAGTTAAAGGATGGGGTTACACTATTACTATTGAACTATAAAATTTCTAGCAAAGTATGCTACTTTATTCTATAGTTAAACTGCGCGTTTATAACGCAATAGCTTAATATGTCAACTACTTTGTTGAAATTTTTAACATACAATAACATAGAAAATGACTATTTTGTGGTACAAATATATGTGAGGTCTATTTCTGATTTGGATCTGGTTAAAGTGGATTCGGATTCTTCGAGTAAGACGAAGAGATCGATTAATATATTGTACACTCAAAACAAGTAATGAGTGAATGAGAAATTAATTTTTAAAATAGACTAATTTGAGTTGGAAAATGAAGGTGGAAAAGCTTTGTAAAAGTACTTGTCCCACATTTGTTTGGAAGTAAGTTTGCATCACTATATATAAGAGGCTTAAGCATATTGAATTGTATAGCATTGATGTTTTTTCGCGCGCAGAATTTGCAAATCAAATCCCAACATTTCCGTAGTCATCTAGGAAAAAATTGTCATTAAACATGTGCCTACATCGTATTAGATTTCTTGATATACTAAAAAAAAAAAAGACAACTCGAAAAAATTAGATACATTATAATTCTTTGGTTCACTCTGAGTGATCAAGAACTTTACTCTATCTCAGTCTATAAACTATTAAACTTACAATTTATGTTGAAAATTTAGTAATTCAAAATTCTGGGTTACATTGAGTATTAATGGGGTGTAGGTACATGTCTCTAGGATGTCCTCTGATTCTTCAATTGGATGCCTTGAACACTCCACCATTGAACGGCCTCCGGGTTTCAAGTGGCTTGATCTTCGAAGAAGGGCTTGTATATATAGCTTGTTCTTCTTGAAGGGCCTCCGGGTTCAAATGGCTTGATCTTCAATGAAGGTTTGGATCAACAAGCCTGATTGGATTGGAGGAGAGACTTTTACTTTCAGGATCACATTTTCATTGTGACCTCTGAATAATATATATTTCTAGATGTTTACATGATTTTTCTTAGGATTTTGTGATTACATAGAAATGAAATGCCCTATTTATAGCGGTAGGATAGAGAGTTTTGATAAGCTCAAACTCTTTTGATATTATCTAATTAACAAATTAGATAATATCAATATTATCCAAAATATTTCAAATATATTCAAATATACTATATACTAATATGATAAATAATCAATATTTATCAAAATTTAAGTGTCAACAAATGCCCCCTCGAGACTTGCTTGTACACCACTTGAGAGCATATAACACTCGAAAGTATGTAATGCAAGAAAGTCTCGACACTACAACTTAAAGATATAAGGCCGTTTCAACTCGTGCCAAGGAGCCTTGAAAGATATGAGGCCGTTTTAACTCGTGCCAAGGAGTATCGTTTAGCCTCCTCCATTTCAAATTTCATATGGGGTTTGCCCCCATACCGGTTCAAATCCTGGGCGTGTCAATTTGTGAACAAAGAAAATTGAATATAATATATTAATATTCAATTTTCTTTCTTCTTGAAGGGTCTCCGGGTTTCAAGTGGCTTGATATTCAATAGAGGTTTGGATCAATAGGCATATACATGATCATTATGGTGGAGGGACTTCTACTTTCAGTATCACATTTTTATTGTGATCCTGAATAATATTTTTCTAGATGTTTACATCACTTTTCCTAAGATTTTTTGTGATTACATAGAAATGAAATGCCCTATTTATAACAGTAGGATAGAGAGTTTTGATAAGCTCAAACTCTTATAACTGTAGGATAGAGAGTTTTGATAAGCTCAAACTCTTTTGATATTATCTAATTAAATTAGATAATATCAATATTATCCAAAATATTTCAAATATATCAAATATACTAATATTGATAAATAATCAATATTTATCAAAATTTAAGTGTCTACAAACACCAACAATACTACTAAGGCTGGTAACATATTGTGTAAGGCCGGGGTTGAACATTAATATTTGCAAAACTATTAGATTCATTACTCTGGCTTAAATCTTGATTATTGATTGTATTGACCTGCGTCTGACTACCAGCGTACTTAGGAAACCAACGATAACTATAATGCAAGAATCAAATTATGTACATGCAATCTAAATTTAGTAAAGATATCAAATGTTGTGTAAAAAAAAAAACTACGGGACAAGAACGTATTATGTATGTTAGTGTGTAGGACTATGGTCCTAATCACCGGGGCATACATCATGGCCAGCGATCACATCGAGTTGAAAATGCTTTAATTTAAAGTTAGGCATCAATTTGACATTAAAATAAAGAGTGGAGAATTGTTCACTGTTGATGATCATGATCTCTCAACCGTTGATAACATTGTGAATGGTTATCTGCTCTATTTATAAAAGAAAAATACTATCTCCACTCCAAAAATTAACTCCCAACTTTTATTCTCACTCATTTTCAAATTTTATTAGAGGAAAAAAAATGGATAAAAATCATGACCCCTTATCATATTAAGTAATCAAAGCAGTTTTTTGAGAAGTCATTTTGCATCTAATCAGCTATCAACTAACAGCTAATTACCAAATAATTTTTTACAATCAGTTAATGCTATCAACTAGTCAAACCACTAATCCAATCAGCTAACAACTATTTACTAAATACTCAAAAAAATGAGAATAAATGTAAAATTACTCTTAATAAAAATCGAAAATTTTGAGAACCATTTGTTACAAGACAAGATAAGGATTATTATAGTGTTTGAACGCAGGTCCAGGCTTTAGGTTTCACTTTGAATGATTGTTTCTTAAAGACGAGCGTTATTTTACTAATTAAAATTGCAAGTTGATATTTATTTGTATACATGTGTATGTGGCTGCCAAACCCCCTACTACTGTGTCTAACCCATGAAATTGCGGTGAATGCTTTATCCATGTCTCATTAAAGCATCATTTTAGTCAAATTTTGCACATCAAGATATGATTAGGCATGATAATCTGACTTCATATTATATTATATTATATCAATTGGATAGAAAGCTAAGACTACAAAAATAGTATGAAAGGAAAAAAATTCCAATTATGGTATATATGTTTTGATAATTTCAGCACATAGTTTTGGGATTTTTTATTTTTTATTTTTCCATATAAAATCACTTTTTGACACGAGATTTAAAATGAAAATAATATAAAAGAAAATTAACATTTTTAGACTACTCAATTAGAACCAAAGTGATTTAGTCATTTAATTATATCAAAGTCACGAATTTGGTCTCATGAGGTTACAATTTACATATGCCATCAATATATTACTCCGTACTTAATAAAATGTCTGATTTGATTATTGAGACCTAAACTTGCTAATTTGATAATAATCGAAAGGTTAACTTTATATTGCAAATAATTGATAGATTAAATCTATACTAATAGACTAGTTGTGTGGTTTCCTTTAATATAAACATTGTTTTATATCAAAGGGCTCCCTCAAAATTTCCGAAACTGAGCCGAAATCGTTGATTCAAAATTGGAGTAAACCGACGGCAGCAGCCTAGGCAGGACCCCCCATCCTCGTAGCCAATAATCCAATATGATACGGAGTAATAAGTAGTGGCCCCACATATTTATAATTTCATAATGCCACCATAAATTGGAGAGGTTGTTTGTTGGAGGGCAGTTAAAAGAGCCTCTATATGTATATATATAGGTAAGGGATCAAGTGCGGGAGGGGACTTCCCGTGCGATTGGACTCACAATAAGCATTAAACTGACGCACTTTAAGTACACAACACACGCACCTTAAGCACAAAACTCACGCATCTTAAGCACAAAACTCAAGCACCTGAAGTATAAAAACACGCATCTTAAGTTTCAACAACTACTCACACTAAGCACAAACCCACGCACCTTAAGCACAAGACTCACACACCTTAAGTATAAAACTCATGCACCTTAAGCACAAAACTCATATATCTAAATAGTAAGAAAGAATCATGTGGAGTTGTGGTGGAGAAAAGTGGATGGGGTTTTTGTGGTCATTGCTGTGTCTCCCTTAATAACCATGGAGATATTATGCTGTCTTTCCAGTTGGTGATTGGTTTCTGGGCATGACTTGATGTACGATTATGACTCCACAAATAGTACACAATACATATAGATGGTGTGTGGCAGAAGTAATGATTTTATTGTGTTGTCTGAGCTGTGAAGCTAACAACTAGTGGAGTCTTTTCAGCATGGTTTCTGTTTCTTTGGTTATTATACAAACAAATTACTCCGTAACAATTACATAAATTTAGATCAAACCGACGCCCGTTGAGCGGGGGCTCTTTTGGTTATTTTAGTACAGCAACATATCCTTGTACTCTACCAGGGCCCATGTAACAAGGGCATCTTGTTGGAACCAAGTAACACTGATTGTGGAATTACAGTCCAAGCAAGCCCGGACACACAACCAGGTAGATTGAACATGAAGGTTAGTGATGATGAAGGAAGACAGGGAGGTCGTTGATAACTTAACTTAGTTTGATGGGCATCCCGCAGAGGTTTCCCAGTTCTGTTTCTAAAACTTGGTTCAACTTTGCTTTGGTTCGCCTGTAAATCCAGGCTTCCGAATTCTGGTCCCAATCAAATCTCGATGGACCACTGCAGATAAAATCACGTTTGTCAGGGAAGAACAAACACGGGAACAGGTAAGGGTCATAACAATTCAGAGCCATAGAACACAGAAAACATTGCAAAATTAGTACATAGAATCCATCCAAATACACTGGAATGATTAGTCATTCCAAGTTCTATGATGACAATCTGGCTCCAATTCCAACTCAAGAAGCTGCTTTTTCCTTCAAATTGATTCTCTTTGTTAGAGTTACTACCCATGCATTATTGGCCTTGACCCAATAAGCTGTGGTATATCAAGTCATTCAGGGTCAGCCCAGCCATTCACATGTTAGGTTATTAGTACACTTTCTCTTGGGTTGCTCTCCACAAATTAACACTTCATTATAATGGTTTAACTTTTTGATAAAGCACATTCATGATCAGTATGGAGGGAAGGGAAAATACCAAGTCTAATCCCTATGGGACTGGAGGATGGGTGTGTAGGCAAAGAGGAAGATTGAGGAAATGGTCAACTACAACCTTATTACGTTATACATAGAGTAGTATTAAGTGTGATAATTAAGCACAAAGCAGATCTTATGCAAGAACATGGATTTAACATTGTAGTCTATAGCTGAAGGTAATCCAAGGAAAGATTATACTCTCATGCCACTTAGCCCCAATTAAAACCATCTCAGGGGCTGAACAGGATAGACATGCATTCTGTGAGTTCCTTGTTGAAAATCCAATAATGACATAGCAGACAATAGAGTGATGATAACAGGAACAAGAACTTATGTTAATAACCACAAGGCAGCCAGGCAGGACAGTTTAAAAAGCAGCGAATAAGACCAGGTAGAAAAGTAGTCTTTGGATCAATATAAAGGGTTCTTTATGACGGAGCAACATGTACTTCATAATTATTAATTTTAGAACGCAGCACATAGAACCTGGTAGAAAAGTAGTCCTTGGACAAGCACCAGATCTGCATATGCGACTATGTGTTGCTGAAAATACGGCACTAGCTGAATAAACATTATTACCTCATATGATTAATTCTAGAACTCTCACCGTAAGCCGTCTTATTTATGTAGTCTTAATTTCATAGCTTGGTGTAATTAAGTGGCTACCTATGCTAAACCGCTATGCTACAACCAGGAAATACATAATGTAGTCAAATATCATATGGAGTATAAGTCAAGTCTAGCACTTGCAAATTGCTTGGCCAATAAGCTTTAGATGTGCAAGAGCAACTAGGAAACAAAGCAAGTGTTGGAAAATGAACTTAGACCATGAATCAATAAAAATTCTAGCGGGAACAAAATGCAAGCACAAGCATTTTAATGAATAAAGAACAGGGTACCTCACTGGCGATGACATCCAAATTTGCCTATTAGGTGTTTGTTTGTTTATTACATAGGTTCCCAAACTACCAAGCTTCAATGTCAGAACCTCATTCTGCAAATGGAATCCAAAATTAATAATATATATACAGACCATTGATACTTTGTACAAATTTTTAGAACATTATGTATCATACCCCATAATCAACATCAAAACCATCAATATCTACTAAATCACCATATTCCTGTCCTCCAAAGAAAAAGAAAAACAAAACAGAGAGAAAATTAACAATACATTAATTGACAAAATTGTTGATACAAATAACTTTCTGATATTAGTGACGACCAACATTGGACATAACCAGCCTCTGATATACCAATGAAATTTAAACTAGGATTTCTCCACCAATGTGTCAATGACCAAGAGAAATTTCTAAACTCAACATATGCATGGTAGTAACTTAGATAACTAAGTATCATTAAAATTCAATACAAGACTGAAAAACCTCCAAGGAGATCAACAAAGTATCAGAAAAGAAGAAAAGCTACCTCCAACTTCTCAAGAAGGTCATGGATAGTGGAATTAGCAAGTCTGTGATACTCATCTTCTGCCAGCTGCAAACTGCACAAATATCAATTTAGAAGCAGATACCATGTTTCTGAGATAGTTTATTTCTAAACCATGTCCTTAAGTTCTCCACAAAGTAAAACCTTTATGTTATACTGGACTCTAAATACTAGATCTAGAATAAAATGAAACATATGAGAAATATTACAAAATCTAAAATCCACAAATGTTGTGCACAAGAACACACTTGGCTATATATCCACCTTCAAAAGTTGAAATAACTCCAGATGCAATAATGAAATGCAACCCATTTTTTAAAAAATTAAAATCAGAAAACCCATCTAAGTCATCACTCATCAATCCATTAAATAACCAACATTTTTTCTTGTAATCAACAATTTGGTTCAAGGCTTGTACTGTTGCTGATATTTAAAATTAGCCATTTCTTGATGGAGATTATAAGAAGCCATTACTAAGTTAGTAGCATACATTGGTACACTATGCAGTCTTCTACAGAGAGGGCTTTCTACATATTAATGAATGCTTTCTAACAACTGAAATTTCACTGCAAATACCACTTATTATTTTATTTTCACTTCACACTCCCAACTTTATTGCGGCTATAATCTTTTTCCAATCGTGTATCTCTCGTTTCTGTAACATAATCTCCATTTTCAGGAATGATATGGTAAAAAGTTCAGTTTTTTTTTTTCTAAATTTGTTTTCAACTAGACGGATAGATATTAAAAAAAAAAAATATCCCAAAGCCGAGGCAACTATGAAGTATTTAAACTTACTAGGGCAAAACGAGCACTTACCGGTAATCGATGGTGGTCGGACCTTGAGATCCTTCATTGAGAGGAGGCGTCTGGGAACAGAAGCTACTAGAAGGGTTAATCACAAATGATTTGGAGCTGAAACTCGAAGGTTCTAGAACATAATTATACATAGAAGACAATGATGAAGAAAACAGATACGACCGTCGTGTTGCAGAGAACGACGGAAGCGGAGGCCTGAAAGCTCTCCATATTGTTCTTCTCAGTAGCAGAAGTTTCTTCGCGGAAGAAGGAGACGCCATTTCCGATTTTCGCAGCTTCGGCCTCACTGTTTTTCAGTTTTATGAAAAATCCAACATAGGCCCATAAAGATTCTTGTCAGGCCCAACAGCTTAACAGCCCAATTCTTTCATTTTTTTATCAAATAAAAAAGTAATTGGTATCAGATCTGAAATATTTGCATAAATGTGAGGCTGAAATGTAATTTCAGAAACCGAAATTATTGGAAGTTTTGGGGTAAAAAGTTGATTGGGAAAGACTAAAGAGACGAGAAACTAAAATAGAAAATAGGAGTGTGACCTAATCGGTTTCAACCGCGAACTCCACTCTGCAAACTCTTTCGCGCCGACTCTTAACCGATCCTTTTGATCTTCCGCCGCTTGCCGCTATCCCCAACCTTTCCGGTTCTCGCTTTCTTGTCGTTTCTTCGCCTTCCCAAATCGATCTTTTTCCTCTGGGAATTCGAAAGTCCTCCGCTTTTAATCTGCGGAGTTAATGTTATTCTGGCTTTTTAGTGTAGAGTTCATACCGTTATTGCATATTCTATGCCAGACGTGAGTCTCTCGGTTTTCATGTTTAAAAGGATTTTTTTTTTCTTTCTTTCTTTCACTGGTTTCTTTTCGACCCAGTGAAGAGAAGACTGCACTGGCGATGAGTGACTAGAGTCTGATCTGGAAAACGGACTGAAGCGGGTTCTAGGACTGTCACGTGTTTCGTGATTTTTTATATTACGAAAAATGTTTCCTTTTAAAAGGAATCCACTCTGTAAGTGAGTTTGCTTAACCTGGGAGATTCCAAGTTCGGTTTTTTCCCTTTGATTTAGAGCTTTTCACGCATTTTGTCAAGAACAGCGTCCATACGTTACTGGCTATTAGCGATGCACGCACTTGATTTTTCACGCATGGAAAACTGGGTTTGAGCTGTAGAGATCATTTCAGCGAAGATTTTGATTAAAAGGAAAGTTTTGTCTCAAGGGCAGGGGTTTTGCCTTTAGAGCACTTAGTGCCAATGCCTTCAATGGGAATGGGGAAGACGACAAGGGTTTTCAGGGCGAGGGTATTAAGATCCGGAAGGCAAATGTGGATCCCATGTGAAGGGAAGCGGGTGCGAGCAATTGAAGGGGAACAGTGGATTGAGCTTCTTGACAGTGGTGGTGGAGGTGATGCAGCTCAATGCAAGGAAAATGGGTGGCACAGAAACAGTGCTTCTCTGAAGCAAGAATCTACTGGAATTATTGTTAATAGTACAACTGTTGCGCCTCATCTGGATAGACCTGAACCGGTGGGGGTGAGTGAGAATAAAAATGTAGATAAGATGTGGGGAATTGTTTATAGAAGAAAAAGGAAGAGGGCAGAATTCGAAAATCTTGGTATAGCCGATAATGGTGTAAATTGGTGTTTGGAGCATGGAAGGTTTGGCAGGCAGTATGTTCGAAAGCGGTGTAAGAAGAAAAGTTCTGCAGAAAGTTCACAGGGTCATTCTGCTTCCCTTAAACACATTGTTATTGTAAATTCTTCACATGCCAGTACAAATTTGATTTCTTGCTTGTTGAATTCTATATTATGTTACATGCGGACTACTAGTGTTAGTTTGCATCGCCTTTATGGGTTCCTAAATACGAAGCCAATTCATGATTTATACTCTTTGCGTGGAATTCATTTTCTTGAGGTTAGTTGCATATCTTCCTCTTAAGGTTTATTATTTATTATTTATTTGCTATACTTTTTAGTAAGTTTTATCATTTTTCCCCTCATTTGTACTTTGTAGGAATGCCCTTCTGAAATGAGACTCAGAGCTTGCATCATTTCTGGTGTTTGGTTTTCTCTGCCAGTCTTTTCTGTCAACTTTTCTACTGTTCCATGTTGCTTTATGTATATACACTCAAGTTTGTTTCTTAGACCAGCTTCTTCTTCATACATTCTTTCGACATTCTCAATGGTTTCCAATGAGGGAGATTTTAAAATGGCTGTTGACACTGAACATTTGCTATGTGATGCTTCTGAGAGTGATCATTTGGGGCAGAAAGGGGTACCATCTGATATTGATTCTGGGATGTGGGTGCTTGCACAACCAGTAGTTAGAGTTCCAAAAGTAACTGTTGGTAATTTTCCATGTGATACTTCTGAGAGTGACCATTTGGTGCAGAAACGGGTACCCTTTAATATTGATTCTGGGATGTGGGTGCTTGCACAACCAGCACCTAGAGTTCCAAAAGTAACTGTTTGTAATTTGCCATCAAGGAATGGTTGCACTATCCAGAAGCGTAGGAGTACATATAGGTCAAGGAGAGGTCGGTGCCCTTCGGTTCTTGGAATTCAGAAAGACAGCAGGGTGTTGATTTCTAACAATTTCATGTTCAGACATAATGGCATCCTATCTTCCTCGTTGTCATATCATTATGGGCCTAGGAGTTCTGCTAAGAGAATTCCCATTGCTAATACCAGTGAACTGATATCCGCCTCAGTGGTAACCGGGCAAAACATTGATGCAAGAAGCTGTTCTGCAAATTTATTGGTTATTGAATCCGACAAGTGTTATAGGGAGGAAGCAGCCATTATCACATTGGAACTTTCTGTTTCAAAACATTGGATTCTTGCTGTTAAGCGAGGAGAGATGGAGCGATTCCAACTTACAGCCGAGAGAGTTATGAGGCCATGTAGCTCTAACCGTGTCACTCATGCAATAATATGGAATACCAATGATAATTGGAAGGTGGAATTTCTTGATAGGAAAGATTGGCTGATTTTCAAGGCACTTTATAAGGAATGTTATGATCGCAATACACAGCCCCAAGCAGTGACTTCTATTCCTATTCCTGGGATATCTGAAGTTTCAGGATATACAGATAGCAAATACGTGCCATTTATTCAACCAGATTCATACATCTCTGTAAAGGATGATGAACCAACACGAGCATTGGCAAGCAGGACAGCAAACTATGACCTTGATTCTGATGATGAAGAGTGGCTTAATAAATTCAATAATCAATCTTGCTCAGAGAACAAGCTTCATGAGCATATTTCGGGTGAAAGATTGGAGTTGATGATTGATGCTTTTGAAAGAGGGGCTTTCTCTAATCCAAATGGTTTTGCTGATGAGAAAGCTGCTTGCAGCGTTTGCCTGGATTTAGAAAGGAAAGAAGTTGTAGAGGCTGTGTACAATTACTGGTCTAGAAAACGGAAACAAAAACGATCCACCTTGATAAGGATTTTCCAGGTAAAAGATGATCGCCTTTTTGCAGAAATATTTTGCTTTACTAATAATCACTTTTGAAGCATGCAAGTAAACAAACATCAAAAGTTATTTCCAATCATATAGGGAGTAGTATTATATCTTCTGCCTTTAAGAATACGCGGGGTTATCTGAAGATCATTTTGATATTCCCCTCACAGTTGTACCAACCGAGGACTCAAGTGATCCCAATACGGAAGAAAAAGCTATTCAAACGACAGAAAAGTCAAGCTGGAAGAGGGAAGCAACTAACTTTCTTGAAAGGTGAGTTATAAACACCTAACAATCTCTCTTTTTCAGTGTTTTATTACGTTTAAAACTTGTGCACGAGTGTTCTTTTGCACTGAAGAGAAGGTTATTTTTTTTTGTATATCCTTAACATACAAAAACATGTGCTTGTGGATTCTTGGATATCTTGCAAACAGTTTTTGAAGGAATGGAATTGGCAAATTTAGTTATAGCAGAATAAATTAGGAAAAATTTGCATTTGAAACTCCCGTGAACCATTTCAGCTGTAGAAGATGCTCAGCAGCAACAGAGTGCCATTGTTAAGGTTAAAGAAGCTAAATCTGCTGCACACAAACAGGAGTGTGTGGCCGTTGTCAAGCGGGAGAGGGCACAACAGCTTATGGAAAGTGCGGATTTATTGACTTTTAAAGCTATGATGGCACTTAGAATAGCTGAATCTGCAAAGGCTGCTGAATCTGCTGATGGTGCTGCATCGTTTTTCCATGGTTAATCGACTCTTTATGCGATAGATTGGAGAAGTGAAAGCCTCATGGCCAGTTTTTTGAAGGCGTCTTCGAGAGGTTAGGTTAGTAAAGAATCGACTCTGTACAGAATTATTTAAGCGTATTAGACGATGGCTTATCTTTGGGCGGAGAGGTTTGAATTTTTATAGTGTTTTTTGTTTTTTTTTTTAATGTACATTTTGTATTATTAGCTTGTTTAAAGACTGCGGCTATGGTTTATTATTTTTATTTATTTTTTGGTAGTTTATGTAGGTAGTAAATAATAGCGTCTCAAGTCTCAACAAGCCTTTTTGCTTGATTTAATAGGTGTTATTAGGCTGCATTTTAATATGTACCACTCAACCATAACATTTGATTTTTACTTAATTCTTCCTTTGTATCAAAATTAGAAATGTGTTACTTCGGAATTTTTAACCAAATGCACATTAAGGGGAAGTAAAAGGTTTTTTTTTTTTTAATATAAAAAAAGAGAAATATAAACAAATTGGAAGTCAAAGTTGACCAATTCTTATGGTGTGGGATGAGGCCAAAGCGGAGTCTATAATGACGCATTGACGCAGAAGATTGTGGTCCATAGCGACGTCGGCAACACGGGCCTTCTGCCCTTCCACACTTAAGCGCTATTTTTCCGCATTCATATTACAAGTTTCTATGATGTAGACAAGACAGCATATGAGTCTATCACATATGTAACATGTAATACATAGTAATATATAAATCTCATCGTTTAAAAAAAAAAAAAAGTTTAGTATATTAAAAATATATCATGTATTCAGACTAAGTAAATTATTTGAGTACTCTGAAAGTATATTATTTTGTATAATATACATTCAATATATAAATAATATATTTTTAATGTATTAAAATGTACTTTTTTATGGTCTATACAGCATTGTGTGAATCACGATTCACACAATAATTTGCCATGAGTGTTTTTCATTCATTTATGATGAAATAAAATTCTAGATGCTCCAAGTCCATACACCCAATTAGGGGTTAATAAATACCATTAAGATTGAGAGGCCAATAATACGAGAAAGCCTCTATAATTAACACAAGCGGTTTGTTCCATTGGCGGTCATTAATTTGGTGATCCACTAATTAATTAATGCTCTTTGGAGGACTGAGATTGCGTGTGGCCGCGACTAAACCGGTGGATCCAACGGAGGCTACGTTCGGGTTGCAATTATTACTTTTCTATTTTGGTCGTATGAAAAGGTCAAGACGTGTTCAAAATTCCAACACACCCACTTATAGCTGTTTTGACCTTGTAGTTTTTTATACTTCTATTCATCCAATCATAATCGAGGATTCATATGCTAAGGTGACAGCCCTGTGTTCCTATGTTTCTCGCTTGACATTTCTGCCTCATAGAGACCACGTGGACTAGTGAGACTCTCGTCCAGCTGTGCTACTAATTTTCCTTAAAACTCGAAATGACCGGAATGCACTTTATCTTGACAACTAATTTTCATTGGCATTATTATTGGAAGAGATATTTGTTGGGGTCCTTGTAGTTGTAGAAAAATTCATAACATATAATGTATGGCAGTTGAAACCTCGACGTTCTAATTAATGTTATGTTTATCCTATCAGGTATGATGTTATTTCATTTGTTATTTTCCATTATAAATTTAAAATTTGTATTTAATGTATCTCAAATCTCAAATATTATATATTTGAAATCGAGAAAAAAGAAACTGAATAAAAAATTAGATGGTGACCTATTTATAATATGTTATACTATTTATAACAACTGAAAAATAACAACTTCCCTAAAAGAAAGTTATTGCATTAAATGTTAACACGTACTAATAAATAATAATAGACATAACATTAATGACCACATATTGCTAATTAAATTTATTCTTCAAGAAAATTTAAATGGACCCATTAAAGTGAATATAACAAAATTTTTATATGAAAACACGAAAAAAAAAAATCACAAGTTTTATTAGGTTAATTCAAGTTAAAAAAAAATTTACTAGTATAATATTACATATCATGTATATAACTAAGTTTTCTTAAAAGTCATTAATAAAGACTCTTAGCTTAGTAAAAAAGGTGACCATAAAATGTGAGAAATGGAGAGCTACTATTGGTAGTTAGGAAGAAAAAGCAAAAGTGACATTTTGGAGTTCAACAATTTGCTATGTAAGGGAAGTCTAGATATTACTTTGACAATTGTATTCTTTCACCTTTTGTAGGCTTAGATTTCAAACCAACTTAATGAGATTTAATTCTTTAGAAGGATTCCAATGTCTTGGCCAATATTCTTGAACTGATAAATTTACTTAAGGCCTCTAAACTAATCGAGGTTTGACGGGGTAGAGCTATTAACCCAACATCACTCCCCACTTTTTGAAATGAGAGAAATTGCAATCGTTAATACCCTACACCACGGCGCGCGTAGCACTATGCACCGTGCGCTTTCCAAAACGACATTTTGAGAGGTACGGTAAGAAGTTGCTGTGATTATGTATATTTGTTCATACAATTATGTATGTTCATATAATTATGTACATTTTTTATACAATTATGTACATTTTTTATACAATTATGTACATCCGAATCAGGAAATTTTTGTGTATTCTGTTAAGAGTTGATGTGTATTATGTTAAAAGTTTATGTTTATTATGTATTATGTTAGATTATGCGTATTATCTTTTAAAAAACAGTATGTATATTTTGTTATACAATTATGTACATTCATGTATAACATTATGTACATCTTTGAACATGAGACCTTTTAAAGGAGAATTAACCGTCAAATACTGGGTAGCGAAATTTCAAAAAAAAAATCTAAAACGACGTCGTTTTGCATTTAGGCGTACAATGCAACGCGCACCGTGGTGTAGGATATAAATTGCCGAGAAATTGTCAACTTAAGAAAGTAAAACCACAATATTGTATGAACTTGCTTTCTTTAGAAACTTAGCAACCTAAACTAACTTTCCTAAAAAGTAAAAAATTAAAAAATTAAAAAAAAGAAAAAAAAAAACTTAAACTAACTTAAAACTTGAAACCTTGGAGACTTGACGACTAGGCGACATGAAAATTTAGGCACCTTGTCTTGACCTCTAGGTAACTTAGCAGTTATACTTTAAGCGAATTAAACTTGACTAGTTTCACAATTCTTAAGAAAACAAATAAAGTGTAATATTCTTTTCGAAAAGAATTGGGATCACCTATACAAGTTAAAATTAATAAAGACTAATTTTTTAAAAAAAAATTAACAATGATTAAATTAGAAAAGTGACTACTTCTATTATTATGAGACCAACTAAAAATGAAAGTATAATAAAACAAATTAAGTGTGGCAGACCAGGATTATGTGGTCTAAATGATACCCGGGTTGGACTTCCATTTGAAAGTATATAAGACCTTACAAAGAAGTATAAATGTTTGAAAAAAAAAAAAAAACAAACAGAAGAAGTATAAATTAATTACTCCGTATTTTCTCGCCAGGATATCCCCAGTGAATTTGACAAATTAGTTGACTAAAAAAAAAAAAAAAAAAAAAAAACTCTGTAATACAGTTGTCGTCGTCGTCATTATAACACCATCCTGAAATCACTAAAAGCATCAACTTAAAAAAAAAAAAAAAAAAAAAAAAATTATGAGAAGAAAGATATTTTTATTTTTATTTACTTCTAGATGGAGCCATGGAGGGCAAATGAGTCAATTCAAATTCCCTGGTCGACGGGACAGAAGACCGAAGACATGATTAGAATTTAATTTAATTTTAAGGCCATTCGGATTTCCTCCTGATCTTCGGCCTCTCAGGCTCTCACCAAATTCTGTGCAGCCATGGCGCTGTTAATTTCCTCTTTGATCTTCCTATCCTTCTCTCTCACTACCCATCTCTCCCATGGCGCCGACACCATCTCTGCAAACCAATCTCTTTCTGGGGACCAAACCATTGTTTCTTCTGGTGGGGGAAACTTCGAGCTGGGCTTCTTCAAGCCGGGTGATGCTTCCAGATACTATATCGGTATCTGGTACAAGAAAGTAAGCACCCAGACTGTAGTTTGGGTAGCAAACAGAGAAACCCCAGTATCTGATAAGAGCTCTGCAGAGCTGAAAATCGTGGATGGCAATTTGGTGCTCCTCAATGAATTAAAGATCTCAATTTGGAGCACAAATATCTCCTCCTCCTCCTCAAAATCCGTGTCGGCGGTTCTTCAGGACTCCGGTAATTTGATTTTGAGTGATGGGTCGAATTCAAAAACGCCCCTTTGGCAGAGCATCGATAATCCGGCGCATACATGGCTGCCCGGCGGCAAGCTTTCGTACAACAAAGTCACGAAGCAGAAACAGCTTTTAACTTCTTGGAAGAACTCCGAGGATCCCGCACCCGGTTTGTTTTCTCTCGAGCTCGACCCGGTCGAAAAGCAATACCTTATAAGGTGGAACGGGAGTCAGCAGTATTGGAACAGTGGAACTTGGAATGGCCATATCTTCAGTTTGGTCCCAGAAATGAGGTTGAATTATATTTACAATTTTACCTATATCGATGATGATAACCAGAGCTATTTTACATATTCGGTTTATAACCCTGCTATTATCTCAAGATTCATTATGGATGTTTCGGGCCAAATTAAGCAACTCACATGGTTGGAGAGTAATAAAGAATGGAATTTGTTTTGGTCACAGCCAAGACAGCAGTGTGAGGTTTATGCTTACTGTGGGGCATTTGCCACCTGCCAAAATTCACTGCCTTTTTGCAATTGTTTGAGTGGTTTTCAGCATAAATCGGATAGAGATTGGAGCCGGAATGATTTTTCCGGCGGTTGTGCGAGGAGTACGATGTTGCAGTGTGATAGTAATGACACAAAAGGGCGACAAGACAAGTTTATGCCGTACCCTCAGATGAGACTTCCTGAGCATTCCCAATCTGAGAATGTTGGAAGCTCTTCGGATTGCGAATCGTTTTGTCTGAGGAATTGTTCTTGCAGCGCCTATGCTTATGATAGTAATCAGTGCTTGATTTGGAATGGAGAGATCGAGAATTTAGTGCAACTTGCCCAGAATGATGGTAGCGGAAGAACAATTAACATCAGACTTGCTGCCTCGGAGTTTGGGAGTGGGAAAAGTAATAACGGAGCTGTGATCGGTGCCGTTGCGGGGTCTGTCGCCGGTGTTGTTTTCCTCGTCGGCGTGGTTTTCACTGTTTTCTGGCGGCGGCGGCGGCGGCAGCATCTGATCGGAGCAGCAAAGGCAATGGAGGGTTCCCTGGCGGCGTTTTCTTACCGGGACTTGCAGTATGCGACCAAGAACTTCTCTGAGAAATTAGGGGGCGGAGGTTTCGGTTCTGTTTTCAAAGGAACATTGCCGGATTCAACTGTGATTGCTGTGAAGAAACTGGAAAGCATAAGCCAAGGAGAGAAGCAATTCCGAACGGAAGTGAGCACCATCGGGACAATCCAGCACGTCAATCTTGTCCGCCTTCGTGGGTTCTGCTCTGAAGGGAATAAAAAGTTATTGGTCTACGATTTCATGCCGAATGGCTCCTTGGATTCGCATCTTTTCAGTGAAGATGGGTCCAAGTTCTTGGACTGGAAATTGAGGTACCAGGTTGCATTAGGCACAGCAAGAGGCTTAAGTTATCTCCACGAGAAGTGCAGGGATTGCATCATCCACTGCGACATAAAGCCAGAAAACATCCTCCTCGACTCCGAATTATGTCCCAAAGTTGCAGATTTCGGTCTGGCAAAGCTCATGGGACGCGAGTTCAGCAGGGTGCTAACCACGATGCGGGGTACGAGAGGCTATCTCGCACCCGAATGGATATCCGGGGTTGCCATCACAGCAAAAGCAGACGTCTACAGCTACGGGATGATGCTCTTCGAGTTCATATCCGGGAGCAGAAACTCGGAGCATACAGAAGATGGGAAAGTGAAATTCTTCCCCAGTTGGGCTGCACAAACAATACTTGAAGGAGGAGACATCCTCGGATTACTGGACCCCAAACTGGACAACATTGCTGACCCTGACGAGGTAACCAAGCTCTGCAGAGTGGCATTCTGGTGCATCCAAGACGATGAACATCAAAGGCCATCAATGGGCCAGATTGTTCAGATTCTTGAAGGGGTTTTGGAGGTGAACATGCCGCCCATCCCTCGGTCTCTTCAAGTTTTTGCTGATAATCAAGAACACATAGTTTTCTTCACGGAATCATCTTCAAGCCAGAGTAGCTCACAAACTCACAGCAAGACTTCAAATGCTTCATCTCAGGCAAAAAGTTCCTCCAATTCTTCCTCTCAGGTTAACAGCACCACGGCCTCATCAAACAGCTAAATGTGAGGATGAAGATTGCAGATGCATCAGACTTTTGCTAGCCTGCTAGGCTATGTGTATAATCAGAATCCTGAAGCTGATAATTAGTATTCAGTAATGTATATTTCTTTTTGTTCACTATAATAATGTGGAATGAAAGTTTTTCCCAATTAGCTGTTGTAGCAAGACTTACATGGGCTGCCTTGTGCGAACGGGATTAGTATGAGTCTGATATGGGTTTTGTTGAGCATATAATATAATGTAAACATAAATGTGCAATCCAACTATCAGCTTAGATGGAGTATGATTCCATTTACACTCATTACCAGCATGCTGGACACGGATAACAGTGCCGTTAGGCACTGTTATCTCCTTTTTTTTTTTTTTTTTTTTTAATTTCAGACCGCTTCATTGTAAGAGTATATATTCATAATTTTATTACTATATGTTAATAACTATACATTCATAACTCCATAACTGTACGTTCATAACTCTATAACTGTACATTCATAACTCCATAACTGTACATTCATAATTCCATAACTGTACATTCATAACTCCATAATTGTACATTCATAATTTTCGAAGCTCTATGTTCACAATTTTAGAGCTCTATGTTCATAATTTTATCACTATATGTTCATAATTGTAAGTTCATAATGTTAGAGCTCTTTGTTTATAATTTGATCAATAACTGTACATTCATAATTCCATACTGTAGATTCATAATCTCATAACTGTAGATTCATAACTTCATAACTGTAGATTCATAACTCTATAACTGTACATTCATAACTCGATAACTGTACATTCATAATCTTCGAAGCTCTATATTCACAATTTTAAAGCTCCATGGTCATAATTTTATCACTATATATGTTCATAATTGTAAGTTCATAATGTTAGAGCTCTGTGTTCATAATTTCATAATTGCATAACTGTATATTCATAATGGAATAACTGTACATTCATAACGGCATAACTGTACATTCATAATCCAAAAAAAAAAAAAATTAACGCCGTTAACGGCAAAACGCGCGCAAATTTTTTTTTTAACTAAATGACGCGTTTTTTTAAAAAAACGACGTCGTTTTGGGCCCGTGTCCACAATTCAATGTGGACACGGGTCCAGGGCATAATTTGCCAAAGCCTGGTATAATCAGGCCCAGCTAACATCAAGAAATGAGAAAGCCCAGAGAAGAAGCAAATTAAATGGCAACATTAATGGCGCCAGTGCCCCACTAGACATTAGATAAGGGAAAAAATCTATTTGAGAGATAGATGAGTTGTCAAAATTTAATATTTTGATTGTGTGGTAACTTTCATCTACTGCCCTATCAGATCAAAAGTCTGACAATATTTCCGAGACAGCGATATCTCATTTCTCATTTATATATTCAAATTCTGACCGTCTGACATCTCACAATTCCTCTTCTTCTTCCTTTTGTTTCTGTTATTACAAAATCATGATTTATATCATTCCTCATTAAACCAAGTACATCCCTACCTTATTTAATGTTCTTGGCCTAAGCTATTCATGCTAATATTAGTAACATTTTTATTAAAGTTTAAAGCCTAATTTATCATCGACTTTAACATTCTTGGTTTTTCTTTTCTTTTTGCTTAAGGTGGGAAACACCCCAAAAGATGCACTAGCACATTACCCCGAGTTCTGTCGAGCTTGTCACACCTAATTGATCTTCTATGAGAATGGTTGAAGATGGAGATGCTTTGCTCGCATGGTAAGCTCAGTTGATCATAGGGTGAAGTTTGAGAATAATGATCGGGGAGCGAGTCTCACAAGTTTATAATGTGAGAACAACCTTTCGAAGTGAGGGCTCTTTTTACACAGTAAGTAAAAGCCTTTATCGGGGCTATTATGTAAGCTCCCTATTATGTTGATAGGACAGATTTTCCAACCAATGAATAGCCCTATTCTACGTTCTGTAGTTGTGTGCAACACATTTCTCAATGCCTCTAAGATACACTTTCAAAATTTCAACAAAACCACAAGCTAGGGGTCCCAATTTTGTCACATGTAAACTTATAACTCGTGATGCAATTATGGTACAAAATTGGAAAGCATAATTGTTGAAGATGTATTAACTAGAGATTCTTTGTCAAGCACCTTGTACTTAGATAGCATGTAGTGACCTCAGAGTCTCAGTAGAGGCGTTGTTGATTCTGTGTGCTTCATTAGGTTGAGAAAGTATGTTTGAACAAAAATTATAATGTAATTGAGTTTGTGGACTTAGAATGTCATAGATTTATAAGTTACAATTCACTTTAAGTATTTTTTTTATTAGAACACCCACTTTTGATCATAGCATTATTATGGTATGACCATCTTTGGTCATTTATAAAATAAAAAAAATAGTTTAAATATCATTAAATACAATGACTTTTCGATCTTCAATTATGATTTTTTTTTCAAAAAAATAAACATAAAAAAATATAGCGGTTCAACCTACTTTGTATATAAATAAAAAAATTGAAATGTCTTTGTATTTAACGACATTTTAACGATTTTGTTGAAGAAATACTAAAAATGGTCATGCCACAATAATACTAGGAATAAATGATGATGTTCTAATTAAAAAGGATTAAAAGTAGACGGTCACATATAAATTTAGGATAAAAATAGAATTAGCTCATTAATTTACTAGGTAAAGAAGAACATAAAAAGTAGAATGACACTACTTTTTTTCATGGGCAAACAAGAAAATGGAATTAAAAATTATTTCCTATAATTCACATAGTTAGGAAACATAAGTACCCTACATGCCAAAACCTTAATTCTTAGAAATGGCATACAAGATCAACCCTAGAGCCAAAGTGCCATTTTGTCTTTGCCCACTTTTTCTCCTTCCAAGAAAACAAAAAGAAAACAACAAATCTATTTATTCTCCCCCCTAACCCCCCCACCCCCCCCTACCCCCCACCACCTTCTTTGCATTTCTTAAATAATATTTTTTCCTCAACTTTCTGCTCTTTTCCAGAGTGATAAATAGTAAAGTCACCAACCAAACAGGCCTCCAAACATCCAAAGCCAAAAAACACCGAAAGGCTTTAATGGTCTCTGCCCTTTGGCCTATGAGATTCAATTCAGTCGCTAAGATTAAAGCTCCATCTCCATCTCCAACTTTTTTTTTTTTTTTCTTTTTGTTTCTTTGAATTATTTTGGAATGCTTTTAAGGTGTTCGATGAAATTCCAGTCTAGGGTCGCTCTCGAATGGGCCAGACTCCTAAGGCGCTGTGGGGTCTGTCTCTATGCATCACGCACCTCATCTTAGCTGCTGCTGCTGCTACCATTTTTGTTGCATCTGCCCTGCAGGCTGAACCGATCAAATTTTCGCCGTTTCAAGTCCCTTTCGCGCCCGGTGGCCACCACCTCCCCGCCACTGCAGCCACTGTTTTCTGCACCTCCTGCCGCCGTCGTGTCGCTCCCGTCGTTTTCCCAACTCCAGCATTGCAAATCAAGAACGTTCACCGGCGTCGACGAGCTCGATACCATATTGCTCTCCATCACTGACTCGTACCCCTTCCTTGCAATCTCTTGCATCACCCCGTAACAGCTTACCAAATTTTCCTGCAAACGTACCATGTTTAATATAATTAATTAATTACTCCATATATTATAACTTTTGCATAACAAATACCGACCAACCACATTTAAAGCTACTCTATGTTTATTTATTTCTCCAACCTCCCTTACCGGTCAGACAAGATAGCATAGTGGAAAGATAAATCATGCAATCTTATGTTATTGTTCACAATCTACCATTCAGAACCAATTAAACTGTCCATGCAGGCCATTTTCACTGTTCTTAAGTCGTAGAATGTGGTTCAACAACTACAATTTATGTTACTATTATACTATGTGACATGTAGTGTCTGCAGGTATAGCGTCTTTATAGTTGGTGAAAGTGAAACCGGCTTCCTTGTCGTGGTTATGACTTATGAGAACATAAGTAGTATAAATTTAATAAGTACAAGATACGTTAATAAAATGAAACGATAAAAACAGTGAGTTATTTTATACGGCGAACGTACTTACAGTATTTACATATGGGCTGTTTAAGATTGCATTTCTGTAGCAATGAAACTGTAGGGGGAAGAGTTCATCGCAGGCGGAGAGAAGAGCTGATGCAGAGATTATAGATGGCCTGAACTTGAGTAAATTGATTTCTGGAATATAATGCAAGACGAAGGAGCATAAGGATTGGGTATGTGGAGATTCGACCATGAACATTATATTATTAAATTTTATATATTTTTACCAGTTTGTGATTTGAAGATGATCTCTGTCGCCCTGGCCTTGAGAGCTTGGCGCAATGGTGGCTCTTTGAATTTGAAGAATGAGATGAAGAAATTAAGGAAACAGAATGGAGTCACCGACCGCATTCGCCATTTTAATGTTCCCAGAATCAACATCTCCATTCTCTCGATTGTTTCTAAATCAAATATCACACCGCTGTCTTGCTGTAAGGGACAACAAATTTCACCACAACGTAAATATACTTAGGACCAAAATCTGCACTTCAAATGCCGGTATTCTTTAAGAAATTTTTTTACAGATCGAACTCATGATGAGAATATATATTATTAACTTATATTTACCTGAATATCAGAAACTGAAAACTCTGCTTTTCTCATCTTCAAAGCCAAAATGACACAAGAAGCTGCAACAAGCTTCAGGATCCATGGCCTCCCTTCCTGCTCCATTTTCAAGTTTTAGTGAGATCGACTAGCTATTATTTATTCATTAAAAAGTGTAAATAATAAATGCATGCATGGTAACATGAAGGGAATCTTGTTACCGGTAAGGGATGGAAGGAGAGGAAGCGGTCGACGTAGTTTACAGCGAGATAGCATGTGACGGCGTCGTAGCGACGGGAGAGTTGAAGAATGAGAGAGATGGTTTCGCGGCGAACGGAGAAGTGAAAATCTGCGGCGGCGGAAACGAGGGTGTGATGATACGTCGTTGCAGGCATGTGATCAGATTCGACGTTGAATAGGTAAACGGTGGTGTCGGAGGGAAGGGCATGATGGCAAATCGGCAATGGGTTTTCGAGGTCAAACTCCATTGATGATATGATGTCTCCTTGAAGCTCTCTGTTTTTTCTCGAGAGTAGGTTTACACTGAAAGAGCTAACGCAACATGTCAATAAATGTAGATTATATTCGGATTTTTAGTTTCTTTTTTTTTTGGGGGGTGGGGGGGGGGGGGGGCGGGCGGGGAATTAGTTAATGATAGAAAGCGAGGCAATGGTTGGCTGTCTGATTCTTAAAAGAAACCGTAGAAAGACTTCAACTTCACTCCTCAGTCCTCAGTCTTTCTATTCTTTTCATTGGGAAGATTTATTTTCTAATTTAGCTTTTAGAACATATTTTGAGAATTAATTTATAATTCATCCATTATCTATTTCGAGCGTATAATATATCAAATTAAATTAATCATAACCTGAATTCACTCTAACCCAACCCAAACTAAAAGTTACCTCACTAAATATTATATCATAAAATGACGACTTTAAATATGTCAAATTTTCAGGCAATAATTTTGGAAGCTCTGCAAACTAAACCAGGAAAGATTATATATATTGCAGGATTTTTTAAAACAATTAAGTTGTCAAATCATTGACTTTCTTGTTAGACATGTGACTATACGTGATGATTAAAGGAAATTAGAGTATAATTAGAGATTGAAATTAGAAAGCAAGTAGCTAGGTATGAAACGAAAGAGAAGCTATATAGGATTGAATTATTCATTGAGGCTAAGAGTGGACCTAGCTAGATAAAAGTGTTTTGTATGTGTTGCTAGGACAAGACCAAATAGTTTGAAATCTTAGGCCCTTGGCATAAAAAGAAAATATTATATGTATTTTCATTTTTTACTCTTAATTTGTACTCTTACATTTAAAATATTGATGTAGATATTTTTACAGAAATCCACATAAAGAAAATAATCTATCGCCACATCAGAGAATAAATTTGAAAGAGTAAGATTTGAGAGTACATGTAGTAGAACACCAATAATAATGCCAACAAGTACGCAGAGGGCAGTGAAACAATATAAAAAAGGGGAATGCATGGCAGGAGCAATTGTACGTTCCAAAGACAAGCTTCCAAAATAGATTAATTTTAGTTACCTTACAATATTGTATTTTTTGGTAGTCATATGAGCGCCACAGTGACAGCTTGGTTTCATGTCCTTAAATGTATGGCCAGTAATCTAGACTACTGCTCATCTCGCGACTAAAAACTAGAAGAAATATATCTTCCCTACGGGACACCACATTATCAACTTCTATGCACGTCGTACTGGTTATGTTATTACACCATTATTATTATTATTATTACTTCAAGGTGCAGTTAACTAGGATATATGATTTGTTTTTATTTTCTGTTGTGTTTTTTTCATATGGGGTTTTGTGGAAACAAAAGTCAATGTGTGAAAAGCCTTGAGTTTGGATCAAATCACGTATATTTATTCCTAATAACCATAGAGACTAGACATTTGCTTACTGCTCATAAGGAATCCCTCACTTTGAGAGGTTACTCCCGCACTGGTCACTGATGAGACTTAATCAATGGTCATTCTTCTCAAACTTCATCCCTATGATTAACTAAGCTGCCTATGTGGGCAAAAGACGAACATGATTCTTGTATTATGCAGGAATTTTCTATTGCGATTTACCTTTCTATTGCGGGCTTTACATAGAAGCGGTGTTTACCTAATACGCACCATCAGATAATAACTACGAGTTTTTCTCCTCCCAAAAAAAAAAAAAAAAAAAAAAAAAAACACTATAACCCTTTTTCTAATGTTTGTTACTCATGGATTTAATACTCAATAGTTATTATGTAAAAAAAAAAAAAAATGAAATATACTTAACAGTATAATATTTCAATAATGGTTGGTAGTTCAAGTGATTAAGCTTCATCTGCGCCTAAGATCCAACCAAAGACCTAGTTTAGCAAGACATTGTCCAACCCAATTGTTAATGGGTATTATTGCACATAGAAAACTCAGAAAATTGGTTCATTGTTATGTGCAATTATATATTCTCGTGTTTTATTCATTTATTTCCTTTATTGTTTAGTGTTACTTTGCTTTTAATAATGTAAATATCACTCAGGGAATATATTAAATATATAATATTTTATTTACTCTCGAGGACGTAAACACACTAAACCATATATATAAGTTATGTGTTATTTTTTTGTTTTAATTTGTTTTTTAGTACCAATAACTCTGTTGCAATATAATATCTGTCCATACATAATTTCGTTTTCTATTTGATTTTTACTTTTTAATCTTGTTTTTTAAACAAGGAAACTTTTCAAATTGTATGTATGTCAGAATTATTAGTTAGGTCATCAACAAAGTTTTTATAGATTATACTTTTTTTTTTATTTAATTCGAACGCTCCTATTCAATGACATAATTAAACATGGCTGCGATTATCAATGACGGAGTACATTATTACTTTTAGGTTTATAAATATGGCAATATTTACTATACTCCAACAAGGTGACAATTCTGCGTGAATCTCTATTGATAAGTTGAATTTGTCCTTTTTCTACAGTTCAAACTTTTACTTGTTATTTCTCATCATTGAATTGTGTGTTCTTTTAGTTTTTAATTGTTTCTTTTCTTAGAATATAAACCTATTTGTATCACGAAATTATATTTTTATTTCCTTATACAAACTTTCCCAATAGTTTCTTAATGTCTCATATTTCTCTGATAGTAACATGTACAAAATATTTACTCATACCCATACTAGTTTAAGGAATATATAATTAAAATTTACACATAAGCGGTGTTTAATTATTCAGTGCACATTCTTAAAAAGTGATTGTAGATTTTCCTCATCATCCAAAAAATATATAGCTGAAGGATATATACGATGGGCAACATTACAAGTAAAGAAATAAATTTAAAATGTACAACTACATACGGAAAAAAAAAATCATTATATGCGATTTACTTTTCCTATTCAATTTGTTAGTTATTATATAGAAGCGGGGTTTTCACTCAGTACTCATCACCCAAATTGATTAAAATCTAGTGTGATTTATCTATCTTGTGTGATATACAGGATATTTCACATGGGTAAGGTTTATCCAGTATACACCATTGGGTAATGACGACAGTTTTCTCTCCTCAATAAAAAAAATATATATAAACTCATAATATTTATACTCAACTCAAAAACAAAACAAAAAAAATATACAAAATTTCTTCTAGAATTAAATTAAAAAAAAAAAAAAAAAAAAAAAAAAAAAAAAAAGAACAATCGTTTAGAACGAGTTGAATTAGTCAATTCAAGTTTATTTAATATTAATGAGGTGCAAACAATTTTCAACAGCATTATGTTATTTGGTACAACCAACTTGCATATCATACATGTGGTTTTAAAGATTTAACTGCTAAAGAGGTTATTAGCGCGATGAGTGATGATAAACGAGAAGATAAGGAAAGAAGTGTGGACAGCTTTGGAACCAAACAATCATTTAATAGGCTTCCTAAGGCCCCCACAATTGCTATAAAAATAACACCAACTTTTGACATAATTCACCAATCCATTCAACATTTACACCTATAGCTGTTTTGTCTGAAATCCACTTGCACCTTTAAACTATATATCACTACTTCTTTACTTTATATATATATATATATATATATATATATATATATATATATATATATATATATATATATATATATATATATATATATATAAGGTCCCGCTTAGGTGATAACACCTCTTACAACGAGAACATGTGAACTTCTTCAATAGTGCACGTTAAGTTCTTCATGAATGCACAATAACTACTTCAGTTCCGTGATTACTACATGAATGCACTGAAACTACTATATAAATGCACAAAATTTACTACATGAATGCATGGTGTATTTATATAGTAGTCACAGAGTTGGAGTAGTTATTATACATTCATGTAGAATTTATCGATATATATATATATATATATATATATATATATATATATATATATATATATATATATATATAAAGCTATGGTGTAGCAGTAGGTACATCAGTCTACAAAGTTGATAATATGGGGAATGGATGCATGGAGTTGTTGGTCACGTTTTGACTTTGGTTTTTGACTCGGTCAAAGGAATTATTTCATATTATAGGTAATTATATTACTTTATTTAGTACCTGGCCATTGTGTAGTCTTTGTCTACTCTCCTCACCAAGTGCTGTCCTTACCCATAGTCCATAGCCCAAAAGAAAAATACCCAAAAAATATTGAACAAGTAAATTGTGTTTATCTTAACAAAATGTTACTTTGTAACATGTATGCCAATTAAACTCTATTATCATAGAAATAGTTCATAGAGCATAACTCAGCTAGCCAGTTAATCAATTCAAAGTAATGCTATTATGACTTTAGAATTAATGGTCAGCCAACATAAATCACTTTTCAATGATTTATAGATCGACAAGCTAAGTAAGAATATTACGAATTGTTGGGTTCTAAACATGGTACAATCCTTCCTAAAATGTGGTAAAAAAATAACCAAAATCACTATTTTCATAGATAGAAAACTATATATTAAAATCTTGGGTTGATTATATCGAGGTCAAACACTTATAATGAGGACGAGGACAATGAGTTGGGTGAGAACGACTACAGGGCCCTTCGTCGTTACCTATCACAAAGAGTTAAGCGCTCTGCTTCGTTGATAGTCTCAAAGTATATATTAGTTCTGATCTACTTGGATATGTGTGGAATTAATATTATCATGGGTACCGCAACATTATATTACTCCATTTAATTAATGGTGATAAACTAGATATAATGCTTGCAAGACCATAATCTCCAAGCAAGGTGGTTTAATTTGGTGGAGTGATTAGTTGGAGATGCAACTAGTGGGACTTAATGACAAGGTTGATAGCAATATAAATATAATTTGTAGATGATGAATATAATCAATCCATCATCGGATTCCATGAATACCCACCAATTCAAGTGTTATAATTAATATATATTGTAAACATCAAGAAATTAAACTAAGTAAGCATAAATTATTAATGAAGGTGCAGTGTGAGTATGTATAAATAAAAGAAAAGAAAATAGAGCGAAGAGGACGAGATGAGACACGAAAAGGAGAGCTGGGGTCAGTAGGAAGAAGCCAAACCAGCTTTTAAAGTTTTCATCACTTCGAAACGCCTTTGAATTGAACACCCCCTTCTTTAATGGATGCTTAGCTTGCCCATCTCCTACGCCATTCCATTTGTTTTTCTTTCCCTTTTTCCTTTTCAAGAAAGCAAATTCAATTGATTCTCCTCTCTTAGCTTGCATAGATTCAAGAGAAAGCCACCTCCGATGCAAATAATAATCACCCACCCTCCCGGCATGGACACCTCAGTTGATCATTACCAGCATTAGTGTGAGAGCAACCTCTCAGAGTGAGGGGTCTCCTTGTGTGCAGTAAGTAAAAGATCTAACATTTATGATCAGCTGAGTTACCATGATTTAATCCTCCCAGATACTTTGTGGGGCTGAGGCTTGAGGAGTCCCTGAAATTGGAGATTCAACCTTTGGAAACGACAATAATCACATACTCCTATCCTATAGATTCATCTTTCTCTACACCTATCCATCCACCTACAAATTACATTCTTATTTAACATACGCGTTATTGCAGTCGTAAGGTGCGAGATATTTATAAATCATTGACACATATTTTGTAATTTATTTTCTCTAATAATGTTAAAAAGATGTGAAGGATAAAATTTGTAGGTATTAATAGATGCATATATTAGTTTAGGTGATTTAAGGGGAGGGGACAAAGATGGAGGGCACATGATGAGTGCATGGTATCACGCCAGCCCCCCACGCAGACAACACCATGATTGTGGATGTAATAATATATAGGAATAGAAGAGGGGGCCGGGGCAGGGTCCGGGTGGGGAGATGAGACTTGAGAGTATAGACAACCTAACTGGGCCTGTTATTAATATTTGAGACAAAATAAAAAACCTATTATTTATGCACTTTTGTAATTCACTGCCAGTACTGTACCAGACAGCCAGCTATGCTGTCTACCCATATATGCCTCTCATGCTATATGCACCATATCTGATATCTCTTCTTCCTCCCCACCCCACCCCTTCTTTTGTTTTATTTTTAATTTCTTTTATACAAAAGGAAAGGAACTGAAAAACTCTTTTGCATAAAACGTGATAAATAATGACAGTTAAATCAATTTAGAATAAATGATGAAGACCATGAGAAGGCAAATTATATTCAATTAAAGTTCGGTAGAGTTTATTTTTGAGCTTATAGTTTATTTTTAGTTACAAATAAGTTATAAATTCTGTTTGATAAAACATAAGGAACTTAAAATAATACATTATTCTAAAACACTACTCTAGGTAGGTTTCAAAATAAGTACATAATTTTTAACTTTTTTTCTTATTTTATTTTTTATTAATTTACAAAAATGACACTATTCATCCTTCATTATTCAAAATCCTAATATCTTAGTTTGTTGTTTTATGTCTTTTTTACACTTATCAACTAATTCAATAATTAATTTTATCAAACACTTTAATTTCAATTAGTTAGCTTATTAGCTACTAACTTTTCAGCTTACAACTTTCAACTAGGCATGCAAATAGAGCCTAAATCAAGTTGATCATTCTACAAGCTATCATCAAGTTGACATACATGTTCACTTCACACATAGCCGTGCTATTTATATCTCTTTTGTATTTTGTTTTTATTATTTTTTTATTTTTTGTTGTTGTAAGGAAAAAAACAAATTATCTTGTCACACATTATAATTGATATTGAGTAAAGGAAACATAAACCAAATATTTAATTGGAATAAGGGTTAAATAGACCACTCAACTGTACACCACCTTGCAATTGGCCCATCGAACTAAAAAAAAAAATGCAATTGGTTCCTGAATGTATTTGCGTAGTTCAGGGACTCAATTGCATTTTTTTATAGTTCGATGGTCCAATTACAATATGATATGCAGTTGAGTGGCATCTTTGACCCTTATTCCTATTTAATTTGATACTTAGTATTCCTTTTACATTTTATCTATTTCAAACATATAAAAATAAATCTTTTTTTAAAAAGTACATAAGAGTAATGCTACATATCAATATTATTTTTCTCATTCATTTCATTCCTCATGACGTAGAAGTATCTAATTGGTAAGTTCTCTTTTTAATTACATTAGTGGTGGGGTTAGGTGGTTAGCCCATTCATGGTACCCAAATACCCAATGAATAAAAAAAAAACATATCATGAAATAAAATATTGAAGAAAAAATTTAAAAAGGAAATAAAATATTTTTCTTAAAGTGAATAAACATTATGTAAATCGAGTAGAGATATTTCAAGAGATTTAATTTAACCTAAAATTTGTTATATAGATGCCTGAATTAATGTACACAATTACACGTGTGATTTCAACCGACAATAACGTGGACATATAGAAAATCCGGAAAAGTAATAATAATATGTCATCATTCCTCGTAAATCATTCTGCACCACCTGTCTATAACGAGAGGATCAGAAAACCTAAAACAAAAGATTTGATTAATGATTAAAGATTGCAGCCAATTATGTACCCCTTAATTAAAAATGATTAGCAAACCTTTAACAGATCAGATCGTAATAATTGAGATAATTAGGCTTGTTAGGTTGTTCTCATTCTCCAATAACGTTCGGTCGCTCTGCACGATTAATTAGATTATTCCGATTCCGAAAGTGGAAAAACATCGGATGCCTCGAAGCCCATATTGTAATGGGATAACTAAGCTTGCTTGGCCCAACAAAATTTTGGTACTTGTAACAATGTTTGGAACTTGTCCAAACTCCAAAGTACAATAACCTAACTAATAGTTGGTCCTAAATTGGGCTCATGTTGTACAATACCGAACCTGAACAGAGAATCTGCCTTGCATGAACCTTGACAAATTATACAGCTCACTATTGATACAAATTTATTTTTAATATATTGTAGATTCATTTTTAGTGTATTATATGTTCATTTGTATGTGTTATATTAAACATAAACAAGTAATACAACAAAATAAGCGGTACAATATACTAAAAAGTAACTGTATATAATAGTTTACCTTAAAATATAAATTACGGTCTCATGAGTTATCTTCCGTGAGGCATGTCAGATTGTCTCATGGGTTATCATCCGTGAGGCATGTCAGGGTTTTTTTTTTTTTTTTTTTTTTTTTTTTTTTAAATACATAATTATTACACTTTTCCTCATAAATATTAAAATTTCATAACTCTTCAACCCCTAATTTTACGTTTTAATTTAAAGGTATCACATTTTTCCTCATAAGTGGCAATCAATCATGATGGATTCATAGCTAGTAAGATTACTCAATCGGCAGGCCTAGATAGTCAGTCGTCAGCTAATCGACAAACTAGTGGCAAACCAAAGGATCGTTGGCAGGAAGATATTTAAAAGGGCATTCACAAGATATTTGGAAGATCCGTTACCAAATCCACCTGGGTTAGTTGTCCCTTTTCTGTTTTAGAAAGGAGATCTTGAATTTTAGGAACAAAATCCAAACTTGATTTAGGGAGGTTTTATAGTCTAAATTTGTAAATTATTTTCTTTCCTCCTTAAAGGCTAGTTAGTTCCCTATGTATAAATAACTTTCAGGGGCACATTGTAAACAGTTCGATTTCTACTTTTTAACAATAAAGTTATTTTCGCATTATTTACCGTGGTGTTGATGACTTGTTAACCGACTATCTCGTAGTAGTGAAATAAGAAAATTAATTTATTTCTCGATTAGTATTACATTTTTTTTTTCATAAATAACTATTCAACGTAACTATTAAATATTACATTTTAATTTAAAAATATTACTCCATACATTTTACCTTATAACTAACAAACAATTTACTCTTAAATAATATTACAAACATAAATATTACATATTCTATCTTTATAGGACCATCTCACATGAGACTCATTTTAATAACATTCCTTACTTATTACAGTTCCGTTAGCAATTAAGGAGTACGGAGTATTTATTTATAATAATACAGGTTTCCATTAGTCACAATCTATTCCTAAACGAAGTTATTCCTTGTACTGATTAGCAGAGCATCAGCTGAGTCTTGTACCAACTTCCAAGCGGCGGCCACGTGGTGGTCTTCCGTCAGCGTGGCCCCCACTGCAAACCTCAGCATATACACCCCGCCGGCTATGGTGTGACTCATATACGCCCGACCCGTTGAGTTCACAGACTCCAGTAGCTTCATATTCAACACCTCCGTAAAACGCCGTTCCGATCCCTTATACGGGTTTAACCGAAAGCAAACTAACGAAAACACCCGGGGCGCCGCAATCTCGAACCTCGGGTCGGATCCGACCAACCCTTCGAACATCTTGGCCAGCCGGACGTCGGAGCGGATGTGGGTTTGGAGGTTGGCGACGCCGTAACTGCGCAGGACGAGCCATAACCGGAGCGATCTGAACCGGCGGCCGGTTCCGAGTTGCCAGTCCTTGTAGTCCACCACGGTATCGTGGCCGGTCCGTTTGTTTCGCAAGTACTCCGGGTTGGTACTCAAAGCCTTGACGAGCGAACCCGGTTCCCTGACCCACAGGCAACAGCAGTCCAGGTAAGTGAGTAGCCACTTGTGCGGACTCAGACTCAGCGAGTCAACTCGTTCAATTCCGTCCAGGTGGTGCCGGAACTCGGGGCATATGCACGCGCTCCCGCCGTACGCGGCGTCCACGTGGACCCAAATGTTGTGATCCACGGCCACGTCCGCAAGACGGCTGACAGGGTCAACAGCGTTCGTGGAAGTGGTCCCTACAGTTGCACAGAGGAAGAGTGGGACCAGCCCCGCTGCCACGTCAGATTCAATTACTCCGCGTAGGGCCACCGGAGATAAAGAGAAGTTGGTATCGTGTGAGGTTGGAATTATCCTAATATTGCATGGGAAAATTCCGGCCAACTTGCAAGCTTTTGCGTACGTCGAGTGAGTCTGATCGGAGCCATAAACGACGAGCTTTCCGACGTTATGACAGCCTATGATCCTTAACGCACGATCACGGGCGGCGATGAGGGTGCAGAGGATTGCCTCGCTGGTGGTTCCTTGGATAACGCCGCCGCCAGATCCGGCGAACATGAAGGATTTTGGAAGCTTGAGCATATTTGCCAGCCAGTCCATGACCACCATCTCTAACTCGGTGGCCGCCGGAGATGCGAGCCAGTTGAAGCCGACGGAGTTGAAGCAGGTGCACAGCATTTCTCCGACGAAAGCTGCAGAGCTTACGGTGGCCGGGAAAAACGCAAAGAAATTCGGGCTTAACCAATGAGTCATGCCGGGAAGTATATCCTTGTGGATATCGCTCAAAATGGTCTCAAACTCTTCCGGCCGATTCGGAGCCGTCGGCGGCTGACGATTCCGGAGATAGCCAGGCTCCACCTGGCTCAGAACAGGGTAACTCTCAATATTATTATAATAGTCGGCAATAAAGTCGACCATACGATGAGCTTGCCTACGAAACTCTTCAACATCAAGCGGCTTGAATTCACTGATAATGTTGGATGTGGATTGTGGGACATTCTTTTCATCAAGACTACCCATTTTCCGGCCGGTTACACAGTTTGCTGACGATGGAGAAGATCAGAGGATTATATTCTAGGATGAAATACAACTAAATGTTGAAACTAAGGATGGAGTTGAAGCTAGGAGAATCTCTAGCTAGCTAGGGAGATTTAAATAAAGTCATTAGGACTCAGAGGCAGCGAGACAGTTGGTAGTTGTATAAAGTAAGGCTATCATTAATTCATTATCCTCGAAAGAGAGGCTTTTGCGAGATGATTTGAATTATTGGGTAGGTGTAATGCAGACTTTCTAGTCTTGCAAAGTATAAAAAAGATGCCACATAGCAGTAAGCAGCAGCCTTTTTGTATTTTTTTTTTAATCATATTGTGATTTTAAATAGAATCAATTTTGAAAGTGAATGAGTATTGTAAGAATGTAAATAAAATATTGAATAAATTGTTAATTTGATTAGGTAGAGGTAGGATATTTAAGGGTGAAGGATGGCCTAAGAGGCTTTTGACTCTTGGGTCGGGTGTGGGCCCCTCTTTTCTTTAGGTTGGGAATTTAATTTTTTGAGGCAAGATTTTTGGGTCTCGGGACATAATTTAATTGTCAAAAAATTAAGTGTAGTGTAAGATATGTTTGATAAAATTTATTTAGAGCTCGTAACTTATTTTAAGTTACAAAT